CCTTACATGTTTCCCATCAGTTCTAAGATATTTTTAGAATGTCTAGATTTCATCAAAAGCTAAAACCAGAAAGATTTGAGCATTCTATCTCTGTAGTTTCATATGAACTTGCAAACTTTAATTTGATAAATATTTGTAAAGAAATTATTTGTAGCATTCAGAATATTCTGAAGGCTAGAGCAGTTCAGTAAGAAATATGCTTGGTTAAAAATGAGACCAGAGGTTTTCCTCTTTGGTCTTATGGATAAAGAGCTTGAAAGGAAAATTTGGATCTTTATTATTTTATATGTTAACAGCAGAGAGAAACATATATGCACAAAGATGGAAAGATACACTAATTCCCACAATGAAAGAATGTATGGTAAAGTTGGTGAGTTGGCAGATATTGCAAAATTGACTGATTTAATTAAAGAGAAGAAAGTATCTAGTTTTGTTTCCATTATATTCAAAAGTGAAAAAAAATAAAACTCTTATTTTAGGTTGATTATTAGTATGACTTTGTTGATATGGAAATGGATTGAAATATCTAAAAATCTAAAACAAAAAGTTGAAGCTGTAATTCTATTCCATTGAAAAATCTTGGAAGGCACTACTTTTTAAATTCTTTTTTTATCTCTTTTCACACTTTTATTTCTCTCTTTTAACTTTATTGTTTTTTGTTTGTTTTTGTATTTTTTACCTTATAGTAAACTTTAATATATTTTGCTTTTAAACAAATAGGAATTAAGCATAATTCCTAAAACATTCTTCAGGAATCCTCAGGATAAAAATGCAGGACATCATCTATACACATAATGCTTTCCACTTTATTTTTAACATCTAGAGTTCTGACTGACATATTTGGTAATGTAATGATTGACTTTTTTTGGATCATATAAAACAATATTATCAGGAAAAATAATTAAAAATGCCTTGGATGATGTGAGTAATATTTAAGGATCACAAAAGGCAATTAGAAAAACCACAAAGACCTCATTTTAAACAATGATCTGTTTAACCACAGAACTGTATCCAGAAAGTATGCATTAAAACTAAATTATGTGAAGATTTACTATGATAGTGACCATAATATTTAGAGTTTTGCTTTTGGTTTGTTAGAAAAGCTGAAATTGTCAACGCAAAATGCTAGACTAGAAACATGGACCATGGTAATACATTCTTTCTCAATCAGAAATTTCAAAGCCCTCTAAACAATTTTAACTCCAGAAGCTTTCAAAATCACAGAACCCTTCCAAAAACTGCTGCCAAATTGTGATATTTTATGGGGAGAAAGAGTAATTATATTAATTGTGCTCAATTAATTTGTTTACTTTTCATTTTTGTCCTGGGCCTGCTACTTTGTTTTGAATTCTCTTTTATTTATCACTTAATTACTAGATCAATGTTATGCACCCCGGTTTTTGGGAATGTTGTAATATACCATGATTTAGTAGTGTATTAAGAAAATAATTTTAAAACTATCTACATAGATATTCTTTTATCCTTTCTCAGGCATACATATTATTTGCTTAATTTTCTAAAATCTCAGGACAGTTGTGTATCACTATGGATGTACCAAGATCTGATCACTAAGGAAAAAAAAATTTCTGCCATTCTTCCAGAATGCAAAAATGCAGATATAAAAATCCTGATTATATTAAATTATTAGTCTTTTGTTGTGATCTAGACATTAAAATCTGCAATTCTCCCATACAGAAAGGACCAGAATAACAAGCAGGATTTGAGTGTAATTGCAGGTGTATTCTTCCTAAAGTTATATTCAGAATATAGATAGTCCTCGACTTATAACCACAATTGAGCCCAAAATTTCTGTTGCTAAGTGAGACTTTTTTTAATGAGTTTTGCCCATTTTATGACCTTTCTTGCCATAATATATAATTGCAGTTATTAAATTAATAACATAGTTGTTAAATGAATCTGGCTTCCCCATTGATTTGGCTTGTCAGAAGGTCGCAAAAGGTGATTCCATGACCCCAGGACACTGAAACTGTCATGCGAGTCAGTTGTCAAACATCTGAATTTTAATCACGTGATGATGGAGATACCGTAACGGTCATAAGTGTGAAAAATAGTCATAAGTTACTTTTTTCATTGCTGTTGTAACTTTGAACAGTCACTTAATGAACTGTTGTAAGTTGAGAACTACCTGTACATTGTAATCAAATGGAAAATAGGGTTTTCAGACTTCTCTTATAGCAGCCTGGAAACAGTTAATACCAAAAAGCTTTTATTGTAAGATTAATTAGTAACAATGCAACAACTCCAGCCTCTTTCAAATGATGAAGTTATTTGTAGGCAAATTAGGATAGGAAAGTTCTGGTTCTGATTCTGTTATTTGATTGCTACGAAGGGTAGTAATTCAGCCCCTTTTGTGAGGGATAGGGCAGTCTCCCCTTTTGGAAAACGGCACTACTTCTTAGTATGAGGCCATGGGAGAAGAATCTGCTAAGCAACTTTTGAGAGTTAAAAATTCCAAAATAGTTCAAAATCATGATATCAAGTTATGAAAAAACAGTATTTTGGGGGTGGGGGGGCGTGGTACTTGCATTGCAAGGTGAAGATAAGTTATTTCTAATCTTTTCTGCAATTGAAACTCTTTCAGATCACCCAACTGAAATATCAAAAGCATCTAAAACATTTTTACAGTAATTAAGAAATCAATTAATTAATCCATTAACCAAATGCAATTCATAAATTACAAGACGACAATAGCAAAATGATCAAGCAATTTACTCAATGCCTGGGCTATGTCACAAATAGCTCAAGCCAATGTTTAGTTCAGGTGATGCTTTAGGATTCCTGCCTGTGGTTGGTAAGAAAACAGCTCTTCGGTGGGAGATTGCTGCCTAATTTCAGCTAGACTGAAAGAGAGTTCCTTTAAAAAAATGAAATTCCAGAACTATTTCTTACCACACATCACTGGCAACTGCACAGGTTTCTTAGCAACTGTAACACTCCAGCACCAATTAGCGTCTTTCCAGTTTAGATGATGCCTCTGAAACATCTAAATTTCTGAAATAATGGCATGAAAATTACGATCACAAATGCTCTTAAAAAAACACTCTTTTTTTTTTAAAAAAAATCAACTTCTAAGGCACAACCTTGCTGTGATGCTTACATCTTCACTAAATTCTGAACTGGCATCCCTATGAATCGAATTATTATTCTCCCACAATTTAATAGGAATCAATTCAGAACGAGCAGAAGGAAAGACGGACGGAACTACACTGCAGACGAGATTTTTTGCAGGTGGAGTGTTCAAAGAGGCTCCTTACAACGTACAGACGAGGGAAGCAAATTTTGTGAAAAGCTCATTGAGAAAATTCAGTTCCATCTCAGCAGTCAGGCCAACTCAGTTTTCCAAAGCAAAGGGGAAAGACATATTTCACTAACAATAGAATTTGTTTTTGTAAAATTTATTGTCTTGTATAAACTCAGTTTTTCTTTAAAGGGATCAGCTTCCTATGTATTTGTATGTGCATTTAATTATTAGGTTTATGTGCTGCTACAGTAAAACAACTTTGAGATAGTTATATTAACTATCACTATCATCATCATCATCATCATGAGCTGTAGTGGCACAGTGGTTAGAATGCAGTATGGCAGGCTAATTCTGTGGACTGCCAGCTGTCAGCAGTTTGGCAGTTTGAATCTCAGTGGCTCAAAGTTGAATCAGCCTTCCATCCTTCCGAGGTTGGTAAAATGAAGACCCAGATTGTTGGGGGCAATATGCTGACTCTCTAACTGCTTAGAGAGGTCTTTAAAGCACTGTGAAGCAGCATATAAGTCTAAGTGCTATTGCTATCATCATCATCATCAACATCAACATCATCATCATCATCATCATTGTCTATCCGAGGGGTCTACAACCTTAAATACTCAAAGAGCTATTTGGACCCATTTCCCACAGAAAACACCAGGAGCTACAAGACCTGGGTGGGCGTGGCCAGCCATGCCCTATCCAGGTTTTGTGGCTCCGGGTGCTTTCTGTGGGAAATGGGTCTCTCTCTCTCTCTCTTTCCCTCTCTCTTCCCCCCCCTCTCTCTCACACGCACACACACACACACACACTTGTTTCTCTTTTTCTTCTCATTCTCCATCATTTTTTCATTTCTCTTTCTCTTTTTCTCCCCTTTTCTCTCTCATTTCTCCCTCTCTCCCCTTCTCTCTCTCTCTCTCTCTCTCTCTCATTTGTTTCTCTTTTTTCCCTCTCATTCTTTCCCTCTTTCTCCCCTTCTCTCTCTCATTTCTCTCTCCCCCTTCTCTCTCTTGTTTCTCTCTTTTTCCTCTCTCTCATTCTCTCCCTCTTTCCCTCTTTCTCTCCCCTTTTCTCTCTCTCACTCTTATTTCTGTTTTTCTCTTTTTCCTCTTCCTCTCTCTTTTTATCAAATGGGATCCATTCTATGACTGCCTTAATCCGCCATCAGTTCTTCTTGCTATGTGACCAGCCTATTTCCATTTCCATTTTTTTTGCTCTCTTGATGATATTGTATACTTTCATTTGTTCTCTAATCCATGTGCAGGTCTTTCTATCTTGTCTTGTAATGCCAAGCTTGTATCTTTCCATGACTCTTTGCACCACTCGTACCTTTTGTATCAATTGTGAAGCTGGTATCCATGTTTCCCTTGCATATGTGAGAGCAGATAGACACACTATATTAACATATATTAACTATATGTTTTTTATATTGCCTATATATATTACCTATGTATTTGTTGGGCTTTAAATATTTATTTGACAGTGTATGAGTTTAAAGTGATCCCTGACTTTTGTTAAAGAAATCAGTAATTTGCCAATTATATCATTATAATAAAGATCTTTTAATGGTATATATTTTGACTGAATAACATTACTCTCATCATGACTAGTGTTTTTATTCCCTCTGAAACTTAATATAGATTTCCCACCCTCAGAGGTATGTAATTTCTTTAATGGTATAGATATCAGATCTGATAAGGGAAAATGTCATTAACTAGGCATATTTACTGAGGTGAATGGCTTATACAATAACAATCTTTAATGCCAAAAGAACTGTGACACAGAAAAAAGCAAAGTCTGAGGCCCTATAGGTCAGGATTAATTTTAACAAGCTAATAAATTAACTCAGCAATTCTCAATATTTTCCATCATGTGGACTACTACATGATAATTGAAGTGGTACAGAAAGCTTCTGCCCTGCCAGGCAGAATTCTTTAGTTGATGGAGTCCACAACATTTTATTTATATCCCACTTTTATTATTTTTACAAATAATTGAATATGGCAAATGTATCCAAAACACCTTCTTCCTCCTAATTTCCCATCAACACCAACCCTGTCAGGTAGGTTGGGCTGAGAGCTAGTGACTGGTCCAAAGTCATCCAGCTGGCTACCTTCCCTGCTATCTTTATTGGCTAAGGAATATGTAAGATGCTTTACACTGGACCCGTTTTATCTTTCTATCTGATTTCTAAATATAAAATATAAATTCACTCTGTGACCCTTGAAGGAGTAATTAAAGCTGCAGGAAAGGTTAGGGCAGAATCTACAGACAAAAGAGAAAGGGCAAAACCGAGCCCCCAGGACCTTGGAGAGCAGCAAATAAATTGGGCTGACTGAGCTTTTATTCTGTTACAGGAATAATTTAATGCTTTCTTCCATGCAGTGAAGATTTATATTAGACAACGAGGACTTTGTTTTGATTAGCTCCAGTGCCTAAAGAGTCTAAACCGTTGATGAGCCCTCACTTCATTTTTCAGCCTCATGCTTTCAAAAGGAAAGGAATATGGAGATTCTGCTGAAGAGTCAGATTTAACAGATTAATAGACTTGGAAGGGACCTTGCAGGTCATGCTCAAGCAGGAGACCCTACGTCTGCCTCTACCTAGGACCGAACTCACAACCTCCTGATTGTGAGGCAAGAACACCACCTCTAGGCTACCGGGTCTTGGCATATGTCTCTTGGGTTCTTCGTCCAGCAGGCTCCTGAATATGGGCTGAGTCTTTTGTCTTATGCTGCAGTTCAAGGGCTTCAAAACATGATAGGTCCTTTCTGATTCAGAGGATGTCATAGTCCAAAGGCAGGGGAGATACTTCACATCTGCTGTGGAGGCAACAAAAGAGATTCTCCTAGCACCACCAGCCAACATTTGGAAATGCTTCATTTTAAACTTGTAAATATGTTTAAGTTACTTTTTCCTTACAAAACATCCAGAGCAGTGGTGAAATCCAATTTTTTTTACTACCGGTTCTGTGGGCATGGCTTGGTGAGCTTGGTGTGGCTTGGTGTGGCTTGGTGGGAGTGGCTTGGTGGGCATGGCAGAGGAAGGATACTGCAAAATCTCCATTCCCACCCCACTCCAGGGGAAGGCTATTGCAAAATCTCCATTCCTTCCCCACTCCAGGGGAAGGATACTGCAAAATCTCCATTCCTACCCCACTCGGGGGCCAGACAGAAGCGGTATTTTCCAGTTCTCCAAACTACTTAAAATTTCCGCTACCGGTTCTCTGAACGGCTCAAAATTTCTGCTACCAGTTCTCCAGAACCTGTCAGAACCTGCTGGATTTCACCTCTGATCCAGAGCACTTTATACTGAGCACAGGTGTGCTGAAGAAAATCATTGTACATATGTATAAAAGAATATTTTATTCTTATTTATATTACACATGTATGCTTACAGTATAAAACATTTTATCAAAAAAAAGTACAACGTAAGCTGTAAATAAAAAAATAATAACTGAATATACTACAGTTAACATGATTTCTACAAATGTTACCAAATGGTTGTTAAGCATGCTTCATTTACCTTGCCGAAGATAGTTTGTATATATAACAAATATGTATATATGTACTGTATGTAAGATTTGGGGAGGAAATCAATGGTATAGTTTACTAGTTGACAGAAACAATTCAGTAAGATCTTGTTGTCTTGGGATTTCTTTGAAAGATATAGTTTACAGACTCTAAACTGTGGCTGTTGTCCTTGTCATCTCTTAATTGACTATTACAGTTTACTTTTCATAAGGCTGCTCTTGAAGATGACCTGGAGTCTACAATTGGCACAGAATGTGCCTATCCACCTGCTGATTTGTGCCAATTTATTTTAAAGCATTGTCTATAGTTGTTAATTATTAAATCTTTTATAGCTTGAGTCATCATTATTTTTCAAATGATTTGCAGTACAGTGGTACCTTGATATTTGAAACTCATCAAATTTGGTAGTCAACACATTTTGATGCAAAAAAAATTTGTTCCGGGACTCAAATATGTTTGGCTCTCAACTCACAAGCTAGAACTTGCCAGTGTCGGCTGCCTTGTGACTCACTACATTATTCCTTATGGGGAAAAATTGTATGGTACTCATTGTTTTTGGTATATGTTGAGCCTCCCGGAACCAACTAATGATGAGTACCAAGGTACCACTGTATGGTGAATCTGCCCACCCAACCTGACAGATCATGAGTCTAAGGCATGGAGGATAGTCTAGTTAGGAGCTGTCCCTTCATTCATTCATTACAATAATGAATGACCTTGTTTCCCAAGGTCAAAATGTTTCCCACTCTGCTAATATTTAGGAAGTCTATTTAAAAATGTATTTTTCCACAAGGTCTTTTGCTAGCAGCAATGATCAGATTTCAATGTGTATTTTGAATTAGTTATTGTTTTCACACTTTTTTAATTGTAAACCACATAGAATCTTGTGTGAAAGTGACATAAAACGGATTATATATGGACTTGCATACATAAACATTTCCCCCCATTCTGTTTATAATCATTTACTATATATCTTCCTTCCTAAAGTTCAAGGCAACCAAAGTAAAATGAAACATTACCCTTATTACAACTCTATAGCATGGGCGTGGTTTCTTTTGATCATCCAGGGCCATACAGTGAATAACATATCATGGCTGAAAATATTAATCTAGATATTAGTGGTTCAAATCCATTACTCCATCAACGGGGCCTTTTTAACCAGTAGACAGGAGTTTCATTATGCCTTTCCTCTTTTAAAGTTGTTGGTCCTAGACTACATAAAACTACTAATAGCTCTGATGTAAAGTGCAGAGCTCTTCCAAAAATTGTTTCCCATTTGTAATATGATAGAAAAGAAAATGATTAAATGCATTGGAAGTAATCATTTTATTCATAATTAAATTTTAATTTCATTTCATTTAAGCGTTGGCCTAACCTTGATCTATTCCTTTGTCTTGGACACAGGACTTTTAAAAATATGCCTATTGGCACATAATCCAAAGGCTGAATGCTGCCCTTGATTTTGCAAAAGTTTTCTAGTCCTAGTGCCGGTACCCTTTTAGCAGTCAGGGATTTCTGAATTGTTTCCTGCAGGATTAATAGCAAGTTTGGTACTGCATTTTGAGCAATGTCATTCTGAGGGGGGGAAATGTATTGTGATAAATAAGAAACTCTTCCCTGGTAGTGATAGACAATTCAGATTCAGAGCCTCAACATAGCAACTAAGTAAGAGCAAAGTATCACTTGTGTGAAGTCTCACTTTTTAAATTCAGAGATTTTGGGAAAGATTATACAAAGAATATGTAATTATACAAACTACACAATTAATCTATCCTATGTCTGTTCAAGGTTTAATCTACTTAATCCAATATTGTTATACCCTGAGTAGGAGAATAAATATTTGATTGACCTGATAGGCATGCTATCTATCTTGAATATAAGGATTCACTCTTCTTGAAATCAGTGTTTCCCCAGTTTATTATCCTTTGGCTATTTAGGGTTGCAACTACCAAAATTCCCATTCAACATAGTCAATCTATATTAGATGAACACAAGTTCATATTCAGGCATGGGGGAAAAAAGTGAACTAGAGAGGGTATCTCCAAGCTTTTATATATTGGGTAAGATGGCCAGCAGTAACACGAAAGTGGATCCCAGGAATAAAATTAAGTCTATACCACATAAGTATCTTTTTTCTAACTTCTGATTCACCATATTTTGTAGTGTTCCTTAACTGTGTTGCATTATAAATACAAAACTGAGTTAAATACATGAATTCACGTAAGAATTTACATCTGTATGATAAAGCACCTATAAACTATAGGGAACATGGACATTCTTATAGCTATAGATTGCAATTGACATTTGCAATCATGATAGGTCCTTTCTGATTCAGAGGATGTCATAGTCCAAAGGCAGGGGAGATACTTCACATCTGCTGTTGAGGCAACAAAAGAAATTCTCCTAGCACCACTAGCAAACCTTTGGAAATGCTTCATTTAAACTTGTAAATATGTTTAAGTTAGTTTTTTTCCTACAAAACACCCAGAGCACTTCATACTGAGCGCAGGTGTTGAGCAACATATTTGCAATGTAGCAAAAGTTATCCTATGTCAGGAGCAAAAGATCAGGTCCACACATGAAAGTCTAATTAAACTGATTTATTGCACAGGAATCTTCTCAACTAACTGTTAACACCTGCTTGGAGATAGATAAGGGTCAACGGAATTCAAGGAGGGGTTGGGCTTACTTTGCTTGGGATTCTAGGATGATCCTCCTTTTAATGCTACACCCCTTCCCCCCTCCCCAGGTTCTGCTACTCTTCTCCTACATCCTACCACTTCCTAGTATTTTAGAAGGGCAGAAGGTGAATTGTTTTATTTTGGTTTTGGCATATGTGTGTTTTTCTATCCAGATTGAAAGGACGTTATGCCAGCTGGTGAATTACCATGGGCAGGGTCAACTCTATCACAGCATACTCCAATTATGGTGTAGTTTATATATATATATATATATATATATAACAAAAACTATTTTTTAAAAAAATCCTTAGAGAGGATTGGAAAGTGTGCCATTGGTGGCTTTTACACGCTGAGTAGATCCATGGCTGAAATTTGCACTAAAACTTTATGCTCTATGAAAACTGTGATTATTAAGATAAAAGAGTTAGAAAACATAGTTTCATAGTCAAGAAACTAGACATAAGCTTTAGGAAACTGTAGATTCTTCCCAGATAAAATTAAAGCCACCTAATGACTAAACTGTGTAGTGACACTATCCACAAAGACTTTTTTAAAAAACAAATCCTCTGTAATTACCTGCTTATTCCAAATCTCTACTGGTTGCACTGAAATAATTGAAATGTTGTGAGACATTCTCTGTACAAGCTTCATTTCTGCTGCCCTTGTCTGTACAAATCTCCACGAGGGGTTGCCATCAGCAAAATCAATGGCAAGGATCATATTTCAGAACTGTGAAATTTGCTTTCCAGAGCATGGACATTCAGTATGAAGGGCACAGTACCATTGTATTTACAGGCGTTGCTGTAATAGACAATCTTATAAAATATATCATTGGTGTCAATAAAAAGAGTAGAGAGAACAAAGTGCTCTAAAGAAATACCTGGAAGAATATCATTCTCTACACATCTTTCCCCACTTTCACAGTGTTAAAAATTGATTTCAGGATTTCTGTCTTTCAGAATTTTTTCAATATATAAAACAAATCCATCAAAGAAAAAGAAACACTGGGATCCATGACCAGATGAAATGAAGATATTTCATATCCAGAGCATCTCGGAACTCAGCAACAATGTTACTTCTGCTTTTCTTCCTTTATTTCACACAATTTCTTCTTTATCTTAAGATTCACAGTCACTGTATAAAATTTTTAAAAGATTAAACTTCATCTCAACATTTGAGGAAAGGTTTTTTTTTTTTTTTTGAATGCTCACTCTTCATTTCTTCTTTCTAACTATGTTTTGGCCAGTACAGTTTCAATGTTTAACTGAGACTTTTATTTTCTTATTTTCAAGGCTATTTGTCATTAATTAAATATAAGCCATGAATATATATTAATATCAGTATATAAATGTCTGAATTACACAGAATCTACTATCATACAGAATAACAGAATTCTGGATTTGCTGCAAGTAGTAGAATGGTTGTGAAATCTAACAAGAAAGGATTTATAATCTTCCATGCTTGCACACAAACTGATCAAGGAGAGAACCAACCTAGAACTAAGGAGAAATTTCCTGACAATTACAACAATTAATCAGTGGAACGGTTTGCCTCCAGAAGTTGTGGATGTTCCAATACTGGAAGTTTTTAAGAAGAGATTGGATAACTATTTGTCTAAAACCGTATAGGATTTCCTGCTAGAGCAGGGGGCTGGACTAGAAGACCTCCAAAGTCCTTTCCAACTTAATTCTGTTAAGATGCTTACACACATTGAGTGAAGAGATCCCCTTGCCTATCTGTTTTCTCAGAAACTCTTCATTTTTTTTCTCAACAAAAATTCACTGCTCAAAAAAATTAAAGGGAACACAAGCAGAAGACATCCAATATCTGAATGAATGAAATAGCCTTATTAAATACTTTGTTCTTTACATACAGTAGTTTATACACTGCTCAAACAACTAAAGGGAACACTACTACTGTAGAGTATTACAGTAAAACTGTAAAACTACTGTATGTAACGAACAAAGTATTTAATAAGGCTATTTCATTCATTCAGATCTCGGATGTCTTCTGCTTGTGTTCCCTTTATTTTTTTGAGCAGTATGTATAAAATACATTAACTATGGACCAGTCCGAAAGCCATAGCTCTCTAACAGGAATCTATGATTGTGATATAAAATTAATCATATTTCCTTCAATACGTCATTAATTATAGAGTTATGGTATCTTCTGTCAGGTTCTGTGCTGAAAAAAGATTCCCACGTGTCAGATCCCCTCTTGAATCTACTTCTTGTTTTTGTTTACCAAATATCTCCTCCTATTTCATCTACCCACCCCAGGTATAATAGCTTGTAGTGGTCTAACTATGTGCATATTTGTAATTATACATCTAAAATGTGTCCCAGGATCATAGGGCCAGGAGCTAGAAGATATCAAGCAGATATCAAGATATCAAAAAGAATTTGCTGATCAAGAGAGAGATGAGGTTCAGTGATATGGCAAAAGGTTTTAACCTTCAGCTGTTATACAAAAAACACTTACCTATCTTTTAAAGGAGAAAAACAAAGCAAACTTACCCTAAAACAATGGGCAACAAACTCTTATCTTTCTCAGATATAATGCTGGAGATTATATTTACCATTTTTAAAAAATTACCCTTATTTTAAAATCTGTAATAATTGCATGTAAATTGATTACTTGTACATATCTTAGTCTTCATGTTCCATCTATAGAATACAAGCCTTGACTTGGTTGCTCTGGATTGAACTCTTATGCAACTCTTTTGGTTAGTCCTAGAAATTGTGTTTAAAATGTTGGTTTTTAGAGAAAAGTCAAATGATATTTTACAGGTCACAGGAGATCACATTGTATGTTAATGTGGTATAATAGCTAATTGGGACTTTTCCAACATTTTCCAAGTGATCTTGTTGTACATGACTTTCTTCTCCGACTCTCACTAGCAATACTAGCGATGTTTGGACTGCAAATGGGAGGTGGGATGAGTATATACTTCCAGGATTTCTGATATGCACTAGATCAGTGATGGCTAACCTTTTTGCCATTGTGTGCCAGGAGAGAGGGGGACAGGGGAGGGTCACACGCGTACATGCCCACGTGCATGCGCACGCAACCCCACCCACCCCGACTCCTATGATGGCCTGGTAGGCCCGTTTTTCTTTCTTACCTGCTTCCAGATCCTCTCTATGCATCTGGGAAGGGCGAAAACAGCCTTTCCCACTCCCTTGGAGGCCCTACGGAGGCTGAAAGGGCCCATTTCCCAACTCTCGGTGGGACAGGAAGTGACATTTTTTGCTGTCCCCAGCCTCCAGAACCTCTCTAGGAGTCTCCAGGAGCCTCTCTAGGAGTCTCTAGGAGCCTCTCTAGGAGTCTCTGGAGGCTGAGGACAGGAAAAACATCACTTCCTGTCCCACCGGGAGTCAGGAAATGGGCCCTTTCAGCCTCCGTAGGGCCTCCAAGGGAGTGGGAAAGACTGTTTTCGCCCTTCCCAGATACATAGAAAGGATCTGGAGCCAGGTAAGAAAGAAAAATGGGCCTTCCCCACCCACCCCCAGGCCCTCCAGAGGCAGGAAACAGCCTGTTTCCCTACTTCTGGTGGGCCCAGAAGGCCCAAAAATCAGCTGGCCGGCGTGCACATGCACCCCAGAGCTGAGCTGGTGTGCCCACTAATATGGCTCCGCATGCCACCTGTGGCACGCATGCCATAGGTTCGCCATCACGGCACTAGATTGTAGACCTCTCCACTAGAGCAAACAGTAAGAGATCTTCCCTCCCAGAGATTTTATTCAGTATTATTATTATTTTTTTTGGCCTCTCATGCTGCAGTTATCCCAGAGAAGTTTATTTTTCTACATCGTTTACTTTAGCAAAACATACAATTTCTGTGACTCAGAACCAAGGTATATAAGCCTATACTTGCGCCATCATTTACAATAAGGTAGAGCCATCTAGTGGTAAGAACCATTCTTCCCTTCTCTTTTCCTCTCCATTTATTTGGCTTTTTTAATCAACAAGAGATAGTCAGGGAACATCATCCAATGTTTTCTGCTGGACTCTCCACTTGAAAATGTAACTAAGATGGGAAAATAAATTGGATTTATTTGCCTTCTCAAATACAGCAGTATTTTAATAAGCTTGAAAAGAGCTGTAGCACTGAGAGTTTAAGGGTTGAATTTGTAAAGGCTCATTTGTAAAGGCTCATTCGTTCTTGGACAGTGACAGCAAGGGGAAAAATTAAGAGCATGTTTTAAATTACGTTTTCATATTATACAATATCTGTAGTATTATTATAAGTTGCATTAGGAAAAAAGTGAAATGATCTCTGTAGCTTGCACAATCGGGTGCAAGTTCATTTAACGTGTTTACTACCATAGCAACCCAGAGAACCTCTGCTCGTCTTAAGCCTTCCTTCCTACAAAACTAATTTAGAAGCCCTGCCCGCCAATTCTCAGGTTTAGAGAGCACAGAAAGGAAGTAGAAGAAAAGAAAAATGCCATTTCCCCCAGTACTATGGACTTGGTTTTGTCCATGGAAAACTGCTCAGTTGCAATTCAATAATTATAGAATTAATGAACAGACACAAGTAGAACTGTGACCTGAATCTCTATGGCATTTCTGATAGACCATTTACATAAGGAAGCTTCTGCTCAATCTCACAAGAGAAGAGTTTAAATTCCCATTGTTTTCTGAAGGAGCCAAAATAAATACAGGTAGTCTGTATACAAAATAAATACAAAATGTCTGTTGTTAAGCGAGACATTTGTTAAGTGAGTTTTGCTCCTATTTTACGACTTTTCTTGCCACCGTTGTTAAGTGAATCACTGCAGCTGAAAAGCTAGTAATCTGGTTGTTAAGTGAATCTGGCTTCCCCATTGACTTTGCTCGTCAGAAGGTCAGAAAAGGTGATCCCATGACCCTGGGACACAGCAGCAGTCATAAATATGAACCGGTTGCCTAACATCTGGATTTTGATCGCACGATCATCATGGGCATGCTGCAAAGGTCATAACTATGAAAAACGGTCATATGTCACTTTTTTTACTGCCGTTGTAACTTCAACGGTCAACTGTTGTAAGTCGAGTACTACCTGTATAGGCTGTGCTTTTGAGGAACATATACTTTTTTTTAATTAGAAGTGAGCGAGATAGCAAGGAATAAAGGGAAAGAGAAAGATGTAACATTTTTGCAATTGTGGATCTACTAACAGTGTCACTTTTAGGAATTGGGAATTATAAGTACCTTGGGTTGGTGTTACAGTCTTTCTCTTCTTTTAAAGCAGGCAAATAATCACTTTCTGCTGTGAAAAGACAACGATCTATTAGCCTTGAGAATTGGCAAGACAGCAATTCAGTTGGAATAGCAATGTCTAATACTATTTGTAAAAAAATATTATGTTTTATTAAAAATGTCAGGAGCAATAGTTGCCTTTGTTTCATTTATCGCAAGGCATTCTCTGCACAGAATATATAAATGGCTCTCCTCTCCAGCATTTTGCTTTTGCCAACCAGCTAAAAATAAAATGGATAATAATAAACTGTCCATTGTATTATTGTAAACAAACAAACAAACAAACAAACAAACAAACAAACAAATATCAAATCACTAGCAAGTACTATCACATATAATGACTAGAATTCCATCTTTTGCCACCTAGTAGAAGATCAGGCTTACTGTCATTCATATTGTTTGACAAGTGATCATGTTGCAAACCACTGATAAGTGACATTGCATTCTATGTGGTGTAGAGGTATATAATATAAGCTACCTAACCCTAATGAAAGCGCTCAGCCTTTATAAAATCAGACCCTTTTGTTATTTTGGTAAAAAACTACATACCCTCCTTTTATGTCCCATGCCATATGTGCAGATATTTTGTGGTTTTCCAAAACGATTTATTTAGTAGGAGTATCTACCAATTTGCTTATATAAGGCCTGTTTAGGTGTACACAATGTAATTGTGTGTTCCATGGGATTTTCTCTGAGGAGACTTGAAAGTTTTGGAGAGGAAAAATACCATTAAAAATATATGCAGTATTGGAAAATTGAATACATTTACTACTGTGGCTCTATAGCAGTGATGGCTAACCTTTTTGCCATCACGTGCCAAAAGCGGGGTTGGCGCGGGGGTGTGGGGTGTTGCGTGTGCCCACACCCGTAATTCAATGCAGGGGCCCCCCGCACATGCGCGTGTGACACCCCTGCACTCCCCCTGCTTTTGGCACACGATGGCACGGTGGACCTTGTAGGCCCATTTTTTGCTCTCCCCAGGCTCCAGAGCCTCTCTAGGAGCCTGGGGAGGGCGAAAACAGCCTTCCCCACCTGCCCGGAAGCCCTCCGGAGGCAAGAAACAGCCTGTTTCCCTACTTCTGGTGGGCCCAGAAGGCCCGAAAATCAGCTGGCTGGCACGTGCATGCCTGCTGGAGCTGAGCTCATGTGCCCACTGATATGGCTCTGCGTGTCACCTGTGGCATGCGTGCCATAGGTTCACCATTACAGCTCTATAGCATGCAACTTGAGAAGTCTGGTCTCAGAACTCCTTTGCAAGTTATCATCAAATTACAAATTGAAATAATGCCAAAGGGAGAAATGATTAAACATATGTGAAATATTAAATTAAACTATATATAATTAATTGAATTTAAATTCAGTCCAATTCACTTAGGTCCTGATGTGGCATTCAGATTAAGTATGTCCTTAATTCCAATTCAAATTAACTATGTCCTTAGTACCAATATGACTGTGCAACTGAAAATGCTACAACTCCCTCCCAAATTTATGGAAATTCTTAGTAATTCAGTCTTCAAGTAGATCTATGCTTTATAAAGCTTCATGAAACAGGAAGGTAAACAAAGTGAGTAACTTTATTAAAATAATTATTCCTGTTCTGGCTCAGAGTTAGAATATGAGATGCCAGTTTTATGAATGCTGTACAAACAAATGAAGAATTAGATTGTTTCTGCAAACTGAAGCTTAATTTTCATACAGCTTAATCAAGACCTGTGATTATGCCTTCCTCAAGCCTGATTTATCATAAAATAATTTCAGTATTTGTTGGACAAACATGGCTGGACATATGATCATAAAAAAAGAACAAATATTCACTTAAATTAATGGGCTGGCACTTTTAAGAATACACATTTTTTAGTCAGGGCGTGGAATTGATCTATGTTAGTTACTAGAGAAACAGATTTATAAAGCTTAGACATTTCCACTCTTAGTTGGAGGAAATTGCATATATACAACTTTTGTTATATCTGCAGATTACATGGGTATCTGCTACAAATGGGTCATATTGATAACAATAATACACATTTTAATAATCCATTAATATCCTGCCTCCATTGCTTTCTCTTATGCAAATAAATACATAAATTCCTACTGTGCAAAGGAACACATTCAATGATCTGCAAGTAGAGCATATATTCAGTCCTACTATAAGGAAAGAGTGAAAGCAATCAAAATCTGGCCATTGAGTAGAAGATAACTTTTGTGCAAAGTAACAAGGGATAGGTTTTATATGAACTGTACTTTCCAGTGTAAAAATGTTGTTGCACAACTTGTATATGAATTGTACCTGACATGTGCCAGGTACAAGGTTTCCTCCTTACATGGCTGGTCTTTTTACACTTATTGTAAACTAGATTCTTGGTGTGCAGGGTTTTAACAATTGAACTAAAACTCACAGCTATCCAGGCCAACCCAACTGGAGTGATGAGTGTTATAATCCAATCTATCAAGGAAGGTGCCAGGCTAGAAGGGGGATTCTAAACCTCTGTTTTGTTTGTTTTCTTACTCTTTTTTTAGAAATGTAAAGATTTCTATGGCTTCCCATCTTAGAGCGTAACTCTGCGTGGCTGACAATAACAATAAAACCACAAACATAGCAAAAACCATAAAAACAAAACTAAACACTAAATCCTAAACTCCAATCATCCTCCTGGGATCAGAATGGGATGACTTGCCACAGCCAAGTCGCCACAGCTAACTCACTGCAGGACAACTTCACAATTCTATTTAATCATTTAAAGTAAGGAAAAATTATTTTAATTTTTGCCATTTACATTTCATTCTGCCCCTCCACTTGCATCCTTTCTTTAATTATTCTATTCCACCATTTCTTTAATATTAGTATAACTCTTGTCCCACAGTGAGTTTTCCTGTGGCGAGTTGGCTGTGGTGAGTTGTCCCGCATCAATCTGGCCATGACAAGTTGGCCGTGGTGAGTTAGCCATGGTGAGTTGGCTGTGGCAATTTGACCATGGCGAATTGGCTGTAGGGAATTGCCCTAACAAACCATCCAATACTCAGCCAAGGATGCCTTCTGTCAGGTTTCGAGGTCGTCTCAAATAAATTGCATTTCAAACAAAGTCTTTGATGAAAAACTTCCATTTATTAAGCACGACATTCTAACTCCGACTCCATCGTAGTCAACACTGACTTCCTGACCCAAACCCCTCCTTTTCCTTTCCCCACTTCTCTGCACTCATTGGCCATCTTCCAAGTCACTCTACCCCTAATCTACTGCTCCAGCTCAAAGGAATTTCCCCTCTCCCATCCATCTCCTAGGAGATATTATCTCCAGGGAAAATAAGTAGGTGAAAAGTCAAACGTCCCTTTCCAGACGCCTCCGCTTCTCCTTCTTATGTCAGCACTAGAGTAAATGCAGCTTGAAGTGCTGACACCTACACATATTTCTCTCCTTTTCTGATTTATTCTGTCGTTTTTCTCTAAGAGCCAAATATTGTTAAAGTCCTTCTTAGACAAACAGCTTGATCCTACATTCCCCCTGCCAAGCAGCTTGATTTAATCCAGCAAAAAAGACAACCATGCATAGTGATTAAAATAAAAAAGCCAAGAAAGCCATCTAAAATATAATTGTATAATGCAGTTTTTGCTTCCAGACTGGACTAGGAAGGAAATTATGAAGGGGGAAAAAATCTTCCATTCCAGATGATGGCAGTTAGGTGGTCAATCTAAAAGATCTACACAAATGGTCCAATGTGGTCATTGCCTACTTTGTAGAATTATCCCAAAGAGAGAACTGAAGAAAAAGCTCTAGAAGTTGTAAATCAGTTGTAAAGTATATTATAAATTCATGCCAATGCCCTCCCTTTAACATTAAAATCCTGCTAATTTCAACAAACACCTGGTACATTTTAAAATATCACAAACGTATGTTCAGAATAAAATATTCTTTATGTAAAGGACACCTTTTTCTATTAGCTCTTCTTTAAAAATTAAGGTTCTTAAAATATAGAGCATGTCTTTCTGCTCTCATTTTATGATGAGTTATTATCTACAACTGTTTAAAATATTTATCAATGTCAGAGACAGATATATCAGGGAAGACAAAAGTCGTAAATCAGATAGGGATAAATACATACCATTTTTTTTCAAGCTGTTCATCCATTTATCCAATTCTTCCATCTCAATTTCCATTACAGAAGGCGTATCTTCCTCAAAAATAGGACTTAATTAAAAAAATAAAAACCAACAAAGATTTTGGAGCCGAAAATTTAGAATTGCTTTTCTTAGTTTTCCGAAAAAATTGTTTATATTGGGCACATGCTCAAGGATAGCTAAGTGTCTACCAACTGGGGGCTTTAGTTTGAAAAAAATAAATATTATTCATTAGATTACATTGCAGTTGAATTAGCAACAGCAGAGCGTAGATATGGTAAGACAGGTACAGTAGATGTGCACATGCAAAAAAGCTAGAAGATTTGGGGTACAAACGCATACACTGATTCAGAGGATTATAAAGATTAATGCTGAACAACTGAAACAGAACTTTTGCTCTTGAGACTAATGGTTAAGCAGTTGGGGGAAAATCATGGAATGTTGTTTTTATATATGATAACCACAATGAGGTTATTGTACATGCAAAGATGGGAAGCTTTGGCAGTACCTACAGTGGAGAAATAGTTGGTGAAGATGATAGAACTTGCTGAGATGGTGAAATTGACCTGTTTGATTAGAGAAAAGTCAATGCAGGTAGTCCTTGACTTATGACCATGAGCCCAGAATTATGGTCATAAGGCAGCCATTAAACAGGTCATCACATTACCATGCCTGATTGTACAGTCTTTTTTTTTTTTTTTTTGCAGAGGTTGTTAAATTAATGCTGTGGTCATTAAGTGAATACAACAGCTGTTAACAAATGCAGAAGTTGTTAAACAAACATTTAAACAAACTATTGCAGCAGTGGTGAAATCCTCCGCGCATTGCCACTGGTTCACTGCCCGTGCATGCCGAGCATGAATGTATGCATACTGCGCCAAACACGCGCTTTGCGCAGAAAAATAAGGCTTAACAAAGTAAGTAGAACAGCAAGGGGGGGGGAACAGCTGTGCCGATTTGCTAGAAAGCAGGATTTCCTGCTTTCTAGTGAATATAAATCATGTGGCACATCTGATTGTCGAAAATACCAGTTTGGACGAACCAGCAGCTTTTATCACTACCGGTTCACGCGAACCGGTGCAAACCGGTAGCATTTCACCCAGTGGTGAAATCTAAAATTTGTTACTACCGGTTCTGTGGGCGTGGCATGGTGGTGGTGGGGGTAATGTGACTGGGAGGGCGTGGCCATTTTTTAAAAACCATTTTAAAACCATTTTTTCTACAACCTCTTCGGCGAAGAGGTTGTAAAAAAATGCTTTCAAAAGGCTCTGACGATCCCAGCTGAGTTGCCTGATCGGCAGAGGCTTTTTTAAAAGCCTCTGCTGATCAGGCAACTCAGCTGGGATTGTCAGAGGCATTTAAAAGAAAAAAAGGGTTTTTTTCTTTTAAATGCCTCTGATGATCCCAGGTGAGCCACGCGATCATCAGAGGCTTTTTTTTTTTTTTACTTTTAAAAGCATTTTTTGGCTGAAGAGGTTGTAGAAAAAATGCTTTTAAAAGTAAAAAAAAAAGCCTCTGATGATTGTGCGGCTCAGCTGGGTATTGGAGGGGGGGCAGGGATTTTTGCTACTGGTTCTCCAAACCACCTGCCTCCATCGCTACCGGATTGGGCGATCCGGTCCGAACCAGGAGCATTTCACCCCTGATTTCACCCCTGTATTGCAGATTGTAATGTATAAACATCTTTATTCTGTTGCTGGGTGGATAGATTGATAATTTCTAACATTCCTAAACTGCTAGCTAAAACTGTCTTGGCTCTCCTGCCCACAATAGAATAGGACTGTGTAAATAGTAGCTTGCCTTCTGATAAAAGAGAGAGTTTGTTAGTGTTAATTGGCAACTGTTTTGTCTCTTTGTAAACTCTAAGCAACCTTGTGGCATTTTCCTTCACTAACATCTTAAATTTTAAACCCTCTTCTTCGTCAGAGCTCATTTAAATGTGGCGTTATGGATGCAAATATGTGATATGTTTAACTTCATGTAAATGATTTCCTATGCAAAGGGGAAGATACTTTTGTCCTGTCCAATCAACTTTTCTTTTGTAATCTCCTTTAATGTCTTAATTATAAAAGGGAATGTAAGATGAGTCTCAAGGTTCCCTCTTTGAATGAGAGGAATTCTTTTTATCAGAACGTTCTGAATTCATCATAATAAAATGATCTTCCTGCCTCAGCCTGCTTTATTGAATCTATGCATGCCGAGGCACAAGCCTAGGGCCAGATTTGGCTTCTATGGATTTTTTTTTCTTTCTGGAAACCAGAAATAAACACCAGAACCTGGCAAAATATGCAGAAAAACAGTCATATGACTGCAGGATGCTACAACTGCCATCAGTATGAACTGGTTGCCAAGCACCCAAAATGCAACCACATCATTGCAAAGTGTAGGTATGTATGCGTGTGTCGCCATCCACAATGGGTCATAAGTAGCTCTGGAGAAGTCCATCATCTCTTCAAACAGTCGCTAAGTGACTGGTCATTAAGCAAGGACTGCCTGTGTTTGTATTTATTGTTGACTGGAAAAATTTAAGGATTTTTTTTTTTTGCATAAAAAAGTAAAAATATGAATTTGTGACCTATGGTTCCGATGATTGATAAGACAGATTATAGAAAGAAAAGAGTCATGATGTAACTTTAGAGCAGAGGTGGAGAACTATGTCCCTTTTATGACTTTGTGGACTTCAACACCCTGAATTCCTGTGCCAGCTTGCTATAAATAACAAGTGACAAGAAGCAGACCTATAAATTTCTTACCTTTTACCATTTTCACTTCCTAGCTCATCTGAGGAAAAAAAAAAAAAGAGATGTGCTTAATCCAGCTGAATGGGAATCACTGGAACTAAATCCAACACATTAGAAGACCAAAGATTGGGAAAGGCTACTGCATGCAAACTATCCAACAATGTTACTAGTGAAGAAACTTTAAAATAACCTACAGCACATTTCTGCAGCAGAAGAAATATCCCTATAAGAACTTGTCTGCAACTTTGATTTAAAAAAAAACAACAATACAGAATAAGGCCTAAGGCCAGTGGTGGGTTTCAAATTTTTTTTACTACCGGTTCTGTTGGCGTGGCTTGGTGGGCGTGGCATGGCTTGGTGGGTGTGACAGGGGAAGGATACAGTAAAATCTCCATTCTCTCCCCGCTCCAGGGGAAGGTTACTGCAAAATCCCCATTTCCTCCTAATCAGCTGGGACTTGGGAGGTAGAGAATAGATGAGGGCAGGGCCAGTCAGAATTTTTACTACTGGTTCTCCGAATTACTCAAAATTTCTGCTACTGGTTCTCCAGAACTGGTCAGAACCTGCTGAAACCCACCTCTGACTAAGGCCTTTTCCTTGCTCTTAGAAAAATAGTAACAACAGGCCTGCTTCAGCAACAGGCAACCTCCCCTGCCTATGATAGCCCTTAACCTATTTTCTTGCACTCCTTAGTGCCAAGGCGATGATCACATAGATACTATAGGAGTGCACTTCAAGGAATGGACAGATTCTCCATCACTTTTCTTTTTTCAAGTTAAATCCAAAATGCATTATTTGTGTTTCATCAAATATGCTAATATGTGCCTTCATTCTGCTCTTGGGGACTCCAAGACACTCCCCAATGAGTAGCTAAGAAATAAGATTCTACTTGACTCAGCTCACCTTTGTATTTGTCTGCTCAGGGAATTGCCTTATGCCAGTGATGGTGAACTTTTTTGGCACCAAGTGCCGAAAAGGGAGTGCACGCTCATCTGGACCACAACCCAGAAGAGGAACTGCCAATGGCGCATGTGAGCACCCGAAAATGAACTTCCGGTTTCTGGTACGCGCATGCACCCCGACCAGCTAGACTTCTGGGCTTCTGGTGCGTATGTGCTCGCGATGATCAGCTGGCCCATGTGCATGCTCACACAGGAAAATGGAAGACCAGTTCTTCCAGTTTCTGGTGCTGCCACTCGCAAAAGGCCAGCTGATCGTACCAGAAACCCGGAAGAGAAATAGGTGATGCCACACATGCCATTACGGCATGCCATCATGGCCTTATGCCATGCTTCTCAGAGAAGTTAGGCATGCTATTCCTCAGCAAAAGCATATTGGTTGGAAATTGGGGGATTACAACCCTGCCACATTTGCATACCCTTGGGTATGCAAATATTAGATGTACTAAGAAGTAAACTAGTAAGAAAGTGAAGAGGGTGGTGGGGGGAGGGAGGGGGAAAGAGAGAGAGAAAGAGATTTTAATCCCAGGTAAAAATTAATAGCTGAAGTAAATTGGATGACTTTGATATACAGATGAAAGAATAGAAGATTAGAAAAGAAGCTCTCTGTCTTATTTTGTTAGGATCCATAACTACCCAGATTTTATTGGAAAGGCAGGTCATGGGTATCCCAAAGAAAAGTGAGGATGGAGCATTGATTAACAACTTGTTCAGAGATTCTATTCTACATATAACATTTGTGAAGTGACAGCCATAGAGTGCACTTTATCAACAATAAGAGAGGAAAGCAAAGAAAAATAAAAAAAACTTTTATTTGTGATCCGTTACTGAAATTTTGGGCAGCGTGGGATTATTGGGAAGCCTGTTCTATCATAGAACTAAATGAAGCTGGTACCCATTAGCAGAGATATTTGCTCTAGATAGATGTGGTTTCATATGTTTTGCATTACCATAAAATAGTTCATTCAGGGGTTTTTTTTTTTCTTCCTGTATAACTCAAACTTCAATGATAACACATCAAACTTGTTTATACTTGAAACAAGGTTTTTTACACAGTTGCTGACTAATCTTAGAGAGCTTTAAAAGACATAAATCTAATTGGGACATTACTTTTACAGCATGAATGCTATTTTGTCCCACATGACCCTTATTTCCCTATCCAGGTGATATTAATATTTACCTTCTTGGCTTTGTTTCCGTTTGCGACGTCTTACAATAAAGATTACCAGGATAATCAAGAGGACTAGGAGCAGCACTATAGCAACTCCAATTATCACAGCAGTAGTTAAAATGGATTCATTCCCATTCGTTTCTTTGGGAGAAGTACTTTCTGTTACAGTATTCTCAGTTTCAGTTGGTGTTGTGGCATTTTGCTCTTCTGATTTATTAACCGAAATTGAAAATAAAACAGAACTAATAGATTCTACTGTGCTGGGCACAGTCGATGATATGCCATCACCAGAATGTTCATTATCTGCCATTGTAGTTACGGACTCTACAAAAAAAGGAAAAACATAACCAATATTATTAATCTATTAATACTATTGTGAGTATTTATCTTTCAATCTCTAACATTCTGACAAAATAAGGATGAGCACCATATAACTGTTCAAGAACTGCTATTGATAATTAAATTATCATATTGTTGGGGTTTCTCTTGCAACTATCTTCCCTCTCATTGTGTAATGATTCATACTTCCTCTTTCGATTGATATTCATTTTCACCAAGTTTGGTCAAGGCTCAAAGGGTAAACTTTAAGGTAATAATCTTCATGTAGGATTGTAGCTGAATGTTCTTTTTGCAAATAACTACAAAGCATTCATGAAAACGAAATTAAAACCAAATTGTACAAAAATTAGTAGACGGTGACAAAAAGTTGAATTAAAAGACTAGCAGGAAAATTACTGGAAGTTTTTCAGTTAAGTACATAACAGGCATTTTTTCATGTTTCTTTTTGAAGTTTAATTTAGCATTTGAGCATAATTGCATTATTTGCTTTTTCACTCAAGTGATTTTCATATTTTTCGCCCAAAGTAAGCATTTGCATTCCGCTTAGATATCTTGCAAGAAATCCTTGCCACATCAGTTTACTTCCAATCCATTTTCAACCAAGAGTATTTTAAGCAATGGAAGAAACTTCCACTATTTCTTATGATCTGCACATCCTACAATAATAAATAATACCCCTTTTGCTCTCTCAAACCTTCTGTGAGAACATAGAGAAGTGGGTATTATAGGAAAAGCAAATAATGCTTAAGTGATATGCCAAGCCAGTCGTTGTAAGTACCTGATTTATTTCTACACAAACCCCTATTCTTTCTTGGACATTAGAAACATAAATTTTCAGATAACAAATAGATTTATTTTTATTTATTTATTTATATTTGTCAACAACGTATTAGATAATTATATAAGTATAAGCATGAATTGAATACATAAAATAGATACAAAGAGAGGAACCATTAGGACAGGGACGGTAGGCACGCTGGTGCGCTTATGCATGCCCCTTACAGACCTCTTAGGAATGGGGTGAGGTCGACAGTAGACAGTCTAAGGTTAAAGTTTTGGGGGTTTGGGGAAGAAACCACAGAGTCAGGTAATGCATTCCAGGCATTGACCACTCTGTTGCTGAGGTCATATTTTCTGCAGTCAAGTTTGGAGCGGTTCACTTTAAGTTTGTATCTGTTGTGTGCTTGTTTTAAATAACTAAACTACTGAACAAATCCTTACTCATTTGGTTTTATATGTACTGTGTGGTTCCCTCTGGTTTTTAGTATTGTGTGGTTCCCTCTGGTTTTTGTAAGAATGAACAAATGAAACTTATACACACATGGGTGTGTGTATGTTTGTATTTCTATATGTACACATGCAAATACAGATGGTTTCTGAAATAACTGCAATTAGTCAGGAAAAAACAGACTTTCTAATTCATAGCAAAAAGTTTACTGCTAACAAAATTCTGGATGTGGAGCTGTAAAAAAAAGAGAAATCAATGAAAAAAAAACCTTTTACAAAAGATATTCCGATTTATTAATCAATAATATGCCATGATAATAAATCCATTCTCTCCAAGTATTGAATTCAAAATGCATTCTGAAAGCTTGATGTTATCATTGGTGAGAAGTAAATATTTGTTCTTGCCTTCAACAGCAAACATACTTCAGACACTTTGCAAATTAATTGCTCCCAAAATAACTTCAATCTGAGCTCTGTCACTCTCCCATCTATGCCAGATGCTTAGGGAAAGATGGGGAAGAGAGATAAAAGTACGCAACAGTTGATTGCTGCAACATACCAATATTATGGTTAAAGGTCTTCTGACTACATGATTGGATAACTTTATCCATCTTTGCTTGACACAGAAATCAGCATATCAAATGAATTCACTGAGTGAATTAAAACCCTTATAATTATAAAGAAAACTTATATAAAATGTTTTATAAATGGCATTCACCACCTGCTAGGTTAGCTAAAATGTTTAAAAATATGTCTAGCAAATGTTGGAAATGTAAGGAAAAAATGGGCACATTTTATCATATGTGGTGGACTTGTGTTAAAGCAAAAAAATTTTGGGCAAAGGTGGCTAGAAAAGATGATAGGGAAACATGTAGATTTTAAACCTGAACTCTTTTTATTAGGTATAATATCAGAAAAACTAGATAAGAAAGGTATGTATTTAACATTACATAAAAACAGTGAGGATTATATTTGCACAATATTGGAAAAATGAAGAAACACCGCAAGATTAAGAGATAATCAAGAAGATACTAGATTGTGCAGAAATGGATAGATTGACATTGAAAATTAAGCAGAAAGAAGACACAGAATGCTATCAAATATGGAATCTATTTTATCAGTGGTTGGAAAAAAGGGGTGGAGATTAGGAATGTAATCAGTATTATTAAGCAAATTAAATACCCAGACAACACGATGTTTATTAAGAAATATAATTAATAGAAAATTAATAAAATTTATTTTTTTAAAACCATTACAATTACATTGGCCAATTTATTGGAATTCACCCCATGTGATCAATAAAATCCAACTATATGAATATCGTATGTTCTCCAGAGAAAACTCTACCTAGCCAATTCATAAGCTGTTTTGCAAAGTGGGCATTTTTAAAAGTCATGTCATTCTGAAGAAAATATGTAAAGTCACGTGTTGGCCAGGTATTTTAGCGAATTCCCACATTCTCTTGCCATTGGCCATCCTAGCTGAAGAAGATGGAGGTCAAACTCTGAAATATGTTTACAGCATTAGGTTGCCTGTTCCTTGTTTAGATTATGAGTAGACAGTCAGCAATTAAGAGCTGCTTGATGTGCCATACTGAGCCTGTGTAGAAGGAAAAACAGATTCAACTAACAGGCTCCTGTCCCTTCTTATCCCAGTCTCATTTAAGGATACTCGCTTGCAGATTGATCAATCCAGCCTTTCAAAAAGACCTCAGCTGTCATGGTATACATGGTGATGACAAGGGGCAAAAGGAAGAAAGACTACCAGACAGTGACAGGGCAATGATTACAGAGTGACTAATGGCGGGTGCAGCAGGCAAGTCTTGGCAATAATGAGACGGGAGATTTCCCAAGCAAAATGTTGACCAAACCTTTATTAAAGTTAAATTTATTAAATTAAACAATTAGCAACTCCAAATCTCAACCAACAAATGCTCAGTCTTACACATCGGCAAAAAAAATCAGAACACAAAATACAAACTGGGTGGATACGACCTTGTAGACGACCCTCACTGTGCCAAGGACCTTGGAGTACTCATCTCAAATGATCTAAGTGCCAGAGCTCACTGTAACAGCATTGCCAAAAAGACATTAAGACTTGTTAACCTAATCTTGCGTAGCTTCTTCTCCAGTAATATTGAACTGCAAACTAGGACATACAAAACTTTTGCTAGACCAATTCTTGAATACAGCTCATCTGTCTGGAACCGGCACTGCATATTGGACATTAATACAATTGAATGAGTCCAGAGATATTTCACGAGAAGAGTACTCCACTCCTCTGCTTGCAACAGAATACCTTATGCCACCAGACTTGAAATTTTGGGCTTAGACAACTTAGAACTACGCCACCTTCGGTCTGACCTAAGCGTACTAAATAAAATTACCTGCTACAACGTCCTACCTGTCAATGACTACTTCAACTTCAATCACAACAATACACAAGCACACAATAGATACAAACTTATGGTCAACCGCTCCAAACTTGATTGCAGAAAATACGATTTCAGCAACAGAGTGGTCAATGCCTGGAATGCACTACCTGACTCTGTGGTTTCTTCCCCAAACCCCCAAAACTTTAACCTTAGACTGTCTATTGTTGACCTCACCCCATTCCTAAGAGGTATGTAAGGGGAGTGCATAAGCACATTAGCACGCCTACTGTCCCTGTCCTAATGTCCCCTTTTATTCATATCCATTTCATGTATTTATAATCATGTTTATACTGATACCTGTTATCTAACACATGCTTGATGAAATAAATAAATAATAAATAATAAATAAACAATAAAGTCCAGTTTCTGGCAAGCTTCTTCATTTTCATTAAATCCTATTCATGCTGGACAGGAAGAATTCTTTTTCCCCCCCTGTGAGTCTTGTGCCATCCCAATCAAATGTATGCCACTTTTTTCTGTATCCAAGTGATTTCCTTCTGCCATTAATGATCATCTGCCTGATGGAGACTGGAGAATGCATTCTTAACAGCAGGAAATGCATGATAGGAGTGAGCAAACATGTTCTGCAATGAGTCCTGGGAGACTGACGAGATGGAGACCAGTGAAGCACATGTTAATGGTATTATGTGTAGATGAAAAAAGTTGTTTGCAAGTGGATGCATAAGTGCGTGTGACCCTGTTTTGCAATCTTTGTACTTTTGGAACTAAAAATATACTTGTATGTAACTTGGCCTTGGGATAGTGGTGATAAAATGAGCTAAATATATCAATTAATTTTTAATAAAAATAAAACCCCTATTTTCCCCCATATATAAAAGCTTTCCATCTGAAATTAATTATTTACACGGCAAAGCATCCCAGCCTATGAGTTCCCAGCTGCAGTGATTACAAGCCAGAAAGGGCTACATTACAGCATCATCTTGTAGTCTAGGTGGATAAAAACCCTTCTCTCAGCATTCTATGGGTATAAACATTCTAGGTGGACCAACATCTCCTGCCCTTAAAAGGCCATCATTATATAGTTCTTAGAAAAATAAATTAATAGTTGAAGGAGTGATGTGAAAAAGAAAAATTAATGCTTACAGCATGGATGTTGGTTGTGCAAAGTTCAATCCTATCAGCAACTACTTTTGTGTGAGCTAAAATCCTGACAGTGGACAGTTAGATTCCTCATGGAAGCAAAAGCTCCCAGTTGCAGATAATACTCTTTGCACACATAGAGATTCTCTTTGTTTATTATCTGGGGTGACTAGAAGTGGGCAGGAGCTATTACTCAGTTCCTTTATATTGGACTGAATCAGTGGTGAGTTGCTACCTGTTCGCCCCAGTTTGAGCGAACTGGTAGCGGCGGGAGACTCCGCCCACCTGCCTGGACGTCATCAAATATGCTCTGCGCATGTAATACACAAGTAGTGCGTGCGCGAGCCAAGTGAGTGCATGCGCACAAGCGAACCAGTAGCAAGGGTAAGTGAAACCCAACACTGGATTGAACCCATCTGAATTGAACACGTGAAACTTGCTGCTCCTCCAGACCAAGTAGAAATTCACAGTATTTTTGCTTAACACACTAAGCCATAAAACCAAATTAATAAATGCATATGCAGCTCTATATTACAGTGCTTTAATAAGTTTTTTTTTAAATGAAGTAAATATTTGTTTCAAGCTCTCTCTTTTTTTTTTTTGCACACGGTCAAGTAAATAGTCCATTTTAAAAGACACCCAATATAGATACTTCTCTTCCCCCTTGTTTACCTGCTAAAACAATAAGCTTCTGCTATTCTTTGCATGTTAGGGGGAATTACTTTTGACTTCCTTGCTTGCTTCCTTCCGTGTCTTATTTTAAAGATCTCACAAACCCCAGGACCTAATGGGGAAAAGTAGAGGTGGGGAAGGAAAGGGAGATGTGGGGAAGCTCCAGTTTCCCCCATGAAAAACAATCTTAAACCTGTGGGAACCCACTAGGGACTTCTTTAAGCCTATTTATCCTGGATCAGCTATACGTGAACTTTATCTCTGCATGAGAAGTGAGGATAGGTGAGGGGTTAGAATTTCAGGCAAAGGGTGGAATCTCAGATGAGGTAGAATGGGAAGAAAGGGAATCTTCTAAATGGTTTGTAACCCAAATGGGTAACCTTCAGGTACACCTCCAATAATTGTTCAGTTTGATCCAACAGATCAATATATGAAGTGTGTTTCATCATGGAGTGACCCAAACCATGACATTGATCTAATTCAGGGATGTCAAACTGGCGGTCCGTGGGCCGGATGCATCACGTGCAGCAGTGGTGGGTTGCTCCCGGTTCACCCTGGTTCGGGTAAACTGGTAGTGGCGGCGGCGGGAGGCTCCATCCACCCGCCCAGATGTCATCAAAAACTCTCTGCACATGTGCAGAAGTGCTGCATGCTCACAAAACAAGTGCATGCACCTGCACACTACCAATAGCAAACCGGTAGCGCTAGGATTTGAAACCCACTACTGATGTGCAGGCAACGCCCAGCTCCGTGAAGGAGAAAAATATTGCGATACATCACATGACAGCAACGTGTCACCATGAGTTTGACACCCGTGAGCTAATATATTTAAGCAGTTTGATGCAGAGCAATGCAATGGTTTTAAACCTAGATAACTTGAAAATTTTGGGCTCTTCTTATCAAGGCTTTTCATACTTGTCTATTCTGATATGACATACTCTTCAGTTTTCATAGAAGGGCATATACATTGTGTCCATGTTTGCATAAACTATCTTGATTTGTATGTCAAATAATCTTTATCCATTTTAGAACTCGCCTGAGCAAGAACTGCATTTTTTTGTTATTCTTTTGAACGTCCCTTTTTAAAGACTCTCCTTTAACAGTTTAAAAAGTTTACAAGCTTATAGTATCTTTCATAAGAACGTGGTGATAACATGGACAAACATTTATATATTCGGTCTTTATATAGTCACTTGTTTATACTATACCACTTTGCAAGTGCAGAGAACGGAGAGATTCACGTCAGGGGTGGGTTCTACTTACCTTTGCTACCAGTTCGCAATTGGAGCGTGCGCACTTCTGCGCATGCACAGAAGCTTCTGTGTATGCGCAGATTGTCCATAATGACGTCCGGGCGGGTGGGTGGAGCCTCCCACCACTTTTACTACCGGTTCGCAAAAACCAGACCGAACCAAGAGCAAAATTAAATGAATGTGTAAGAATACTGTGATAAGGTGCCTAATTCAGCTTTTAAATCTGATTTAAGCTATTTCACAAAAAATGCGTCAGAAAGTTTAGCGCCACCAATTGCTATGATATCATCCCGTCAGAAATTCTGTTCCTGTAACCTTCCAGAACTGCTGTTTCTTACTTACTTACTTACTTTATTTGATTTATATACCGCCCTACTCCCGAAGGACTCAGGGCTGTGAACAGCCAAACAGTAAAAATACATAGATACAAAATTTAAAAACAAAGTAAAATCGAATTAAACAATTTGGCCCAGACAGATTAAAACACCCCAATCATTTAAAAACCGATTAAAATTTGGATAATTAAAAAGAGGGAAAAGATTAGGCCAGGCCCGCCTGGGGGAATAAAAGGGTCTTAAGAGCGTGGCAGAAGATGCGTAGATCCAGGATCCTCTGTATCTCCGGGGGGAGCTCGTTCCAGATAGTAGGTGCCCCCACAGAGAAGGCTGTCCCCCTAGGGGCTGCCAGTTGACATTGTTTGGCCAACGGCACCCGGAGGAGCCCCTCTCTATGAGAGCGTACCGGCCGGTGGGAGGCTATTGGTAGTAGTAGGCGGTCCCGTAGATAACCAGCTCCTAAGCCTAAATTTCAATTTGTACAATGCAAGAATAGTCCCAACTACAAAATAATTGTCTACATAGCATTAGGGCTACATGCTTCGATACTGCTTTTATTCTAAACAGCAAGCTTAGACGTGCAGAAAGTAACTCAGCAGGTAAGAATGATGACATCTACAGCAGTGAAAGACATGAAGCCGACTGGTATATTTTTTTGTCCTTTGCAGTTAACTTTTAAAGTTTTTTCTTTCTTTCATAACAATTGAGAGGTAAATCTGTAAATATTAGGAAATCAAATGTCTCATTTAATTTAGGCATTTGCTTAATGTAGGTATAGTATATTTAGATAGCCCTTTTATAGATAATTGTTTTAAAATTAAAAGGAAAAGCAAATAATTAAGATTTTAATATAAAAATGTTTGGTCCAACCTTCCCAACCGTTATGATCTGCACATTTGATTAGATTAGATTACATCATTCTGGCCACAGAAGATGGTGTTTACAGTGTGTTGCTTTGGAAACAATTTAGAAAAACTTGGTTATGTATATAATTCTACATATATGAAACGAAAAGAATTTTTCTAATGGTTTTTATCCGGAACAAAAACACCCAACACATTTTTGTTGTTCTTTGACAGAGTGCCTCTCTGAAAGTTAAATACACATCTTTTAAGTTATACTATCTTAAATAGCACAGCTTCGTCTTATATATTATTTCAGGAACTTGATCCTTCCTTACAATTGTATATGTTCTACCGATCATGTTAGTAGATTGTTAGTGTTTTGTTTCATTTGCCTCTAAAATATAAAACATTACAATGTTTCCTAGAAATCAACTTAGAAAAAGAAATTACTTGTATTTATTAAGAGTGTATTATAATAATAGGAATACAGGCATTATTGTTTAAAAAAAAATCCAAGTGAATTAATACCTTAAGCACAGTTAACAATGGGTCAGAAACACAAAATTCATTCACAGATTAACACACCTTGGATTTGTAGTTCAAACTGGATCCATGGGAAAGAAAAGTCAGCGTGCAGTTGGGAAACAACACTGAAAGAAATGGTGCAGGCTTGTGTAGCCTTTGCAGGGACCAGATTTTCTGGGTGTGACACATCAAAAACAGTTCTATAGCCCGGAGCATAATATTGTCTGCATGGTTATTCTTAACGATGCAGAAGGCATGTTCCTACTTACCGTGGAAGTCAAATACTCCACTCAGCAACAGAAAGGACAGCAAAAAGTTGTACTTATACATGTTACTTCTCTAAAGCAGATGTGATACTGCTTTCATTCTTTTGCACATTTCCTGCTTACTGCTTCTGTGGTGGATGTGTAAGATGACTTAGGAAGATGGGCTACGTTCGGTTACTTTTAGGAAGTGATGTAATTCGGTTTGGGCCTATCAAACCAGCAAACAATTGCAAAAGGTTCCTGGAAAAGCACTGATTCAACCGAAAAAAAGTGAACAGTAAAACCTCCCTAGGAGGATCTCTCCGTCCTCTTGTGTCTTCAGAACCTGAATACTATCCAGATCATGGTATTTAAGACAGAGAAAAAGGAGTAAAAACTTTTTAAAGTGAGACCAATATAATGTGGGTCACTGTGGATATAATACACTAAAGTTGAGATCCAAAAGAAATTGTATAAACACCAATGCAGGAATGTATGGGGCTGCGTGCTGGTTTGTTATCCAGCTCCTTCTGTACGATTAGATTCCTTCTCATTTGTTATGCAGGAGGCTACCTTATAACAAGATAGACCATTAAGCAATAAAGACAGATTAGTAGGTGCAGGAAAGCATTTTCTGGTCCTGCCTTGAGGCTGACCCTGGATCTGTTGCATGACATGCCAATGCTCTGCTTCTGAGCTATATAGATTTGTCTACAGTTTCCCCAGTTTTGATCATCAATGAATTGGCTTGTTTGCGTATTTCTCCCTCCCCTCTCCTTTGATCTTATTATTGAAGTTGCATCATCTAATTAACACCACTGTAAGCAAAGATGCTTTTCTTTTGTTAATCAGTTGAATGCCAAAAGTATTTTTTTTAAAAAAAAACATAACTAAATCTAGGTTCCTTTTGCACATAATTTAGAAGTCAAAATCTTCAGTTTAGCATGTCCTTTAACTCGAAGTCAATTAGCATTTGGATTACTGGAAACCAGAGATTTTAAGTTTAACATTGGTGATTTTTTAAAAAGTTTCATTAAATATACACAACATCAGTTTCTTTTGATTCATGACAGGTTACAGGAAATGCCCACAGAGCAGATACTGCTACAAACAATAAAAGAGCCACAATAAATATAACAATAATATATTCATAATAATATTAAAATCCTTATCGTGGGATTATATGATAGATACTCCACATCCTGATCAGGATACAATGATATTAATGGCAAGAAATCATTTAACTCCTGAGAGCATTTTGGAATAATTCTGTTTTTAATACTTTCTGGATGAATACCACAAAAATATTACTCTACTCCAGGGAGGTCAAACTCGATTTCATTGAGCACAGCATCAGGGTTGTGTTTGACCTTGGGGGGCCGGGGTGGGCATGGCCACAGGTGCCCACTTGTATCGGGGGCACCTGTGGCAGCTCAAGCACTCTGCCAGTGAAAACGGGCTCCTGAGCTCCATTTTTGCCTGCGACTGCAACCCTCTGCCAGTGAAAACAGAGCTTGGGAGGGCCGCCCACGGCCCTTGTGAGCTCTGTTTTCACTGGAAGAAGCCCCACGGGCCAGTCCTTCGCTGTTTCCAGGGCCGACCCACGGGCCAGATCTAAGTACCCCGTGGGCCAGATCCAGCCCCCGGGCCTTGAGTTTGACACCCCTGCTCTACTCATAGTCTTGGTGCTGCCATTGCTTGTCCTATAATTTTCAGTTCCCTCCCTCCCTCCCTCTCCCTCCCTCCCATGACTCATGAAAATATGAGATTGTCAGCAGCTTTTTTGGTGATATACAGTATTTACAGGATGCGCTGAGTCTTGCCAGAGAAGGGAGTCCTGAAACTGCTTTAGTGCAAGCTCTTAATCCTACCAAAGGACTTCATAGATCGAAACCCAGCAATCTGATTTGTATTCAGAAGCCTATTGGTAACAGATGCAGAGCCTTGAGTACCGGCATAATAAGCTTTTAGACATTAATCCTTGTCTTGTAACTGAGCTGATACACTTTGCACCACTTGCAGTTTTCAAATGCTCTTCAAAGGCCAGTGCAATAGCCTGTATGTAAAAAGGACACTACAAGGTCTTAGTGCTTCAGATAGGGGTACCACTGCTGCAGCAGCTGAAGATGGGCATTGACATGACCAAGGATGAGATGGTACTATCAATTCCCACTAACAAAACTTTTGGGCTTAGTGGTGCCATGCCAACAAGCCTTTGTTGTTTTTGCATCTCTTTTTGGCAGTTACGAACAATCAGATCCACACCTGAAGAGTTCAATTAGCTATTTTATTGCTCAAGCCTATAACACAGGAATCTTCTCAGACTGGCTTTTGTCCAGATTATATAAGGTTTAATAGCATTCAAGGGGTGGTGGTGATGGTCAGACTTTGCCCTCTTATGTCAATGTAAGGATTGCAGACTAATTCCCCATTTAACTTCTCCCCTTGGCTCGGCCAATCTCTCACCAACACTTTTCTGCTTTAATCAGCTTTTGCTTATCGCTTTAGTAAAAGGTTTTCCTGAAAGTCTGCATATTCATTACAAATACATCAATCAATAACTGCATTCAGCAACCACAAGATTAATGAGATTAAAAGATGGGTTCAAACCACTGGCTTAATCTATAATATGATTAGTTTGATTTTGGTTTAGCAGTTATTGCCATCCCAGTTATTACGACGTGTAAGTTATGTTTTACAGCTTATTGTGTAATGCTAAATTAACTCATTATGGTTTATTCAAAAAGCAATAGTTAAGAAAACCATGTCTTTGTAGAAAGGAATTTAGCTAATAATTTGCCCATTTCAAAAATGATCATACATAATCAAATATGCATTCCAATGTTGAACTGTAAATTTCTCTACATTCCTCAATAAACATCACTATTGTCATATTTATGTTCACTACTATCCCTAGAATACAATTCAGAGTTCAACTGTTTTGATTGTTTTTGGATTTTGTAAGCCATTCAAGGTCTGCTGAGGTGGATGATTACAATAAATTTAAATGATTAAATAAACAATATTTCATTTGAGGTGAAGCGCTTCCATTTCCGTAGTGGGAAACTGAACAAGATTCAAGATACATCCAATGGTGTTGAGTAGATAGCATAGATAATAGCACTCATAATTTAAATATGTAGCATTTACAAAATATAATTTTAATGATAATTAATGCTGATAGATTTCAGCTGCCTTTTTATGACCCTGTAAAAAGTAGGTAGAGTCAGAGGGACTTGATAGAGCTGAGCATTTACTGGCCGGATGCCTTTCCTGATGCATTGTGGAGTTTGCAGATTTTTTTTTCTTTGCTCCCTAGGAGAGAAACATCTGCTGCTATGTAGGATTGAACTGTCAACTTTGCAAGGAGAGCAACTTCATCACTAGGCCACCATGCTGCCCAACATTTCTGCTGCATTAATGGTATACAAAGATGTCTTACAACTTCAGTTATACTGTTCAAGTTTATGCTTAAAAGGACTAAAAATTAAAAGCAGTACTATCAAATATTCATGTATTATTATTTTTTTTACAATAATTAATCATCCAATGTCTAAATTAGTATCTTTTTATGGTTAATTTAAGAGAAACTATACTTAAAAATTTCAAAATAAAATTTCTAGATCAAGCTTACTTTTTATTCAAACCATATGAAAACAATTACATCTTTCTTGTTGTACAATAGAGCAAGATTAGGAGCTGTCTTGATCCCTGCAGAACTCCTCCACAAGTGGGCCACAACACACCCATGCTGGATTCACACATAGCACTAGCTGTGTTTCTTTTAACAATGGCTGTTTGACTAATTTATAATAGTGAGATTCACTACAAATCGCAAGAACTGTAAACCACAATCTTTTTATTCGTATAACTAAGCCAAAACCAAATAAACTATATTATGGCTTAAGATGGTGTTTGAATCCAAATATTTGAAGTTAAACTGAAAACTGGAAGACAGATATTGTTACATGATTATTATTTTTTTTCAAAAGAGCACAAAGTTCATCGAACTTTCTGCCAGGTTTTTTGGGTGGGGAGGGTTATGCATAATATAACGAGAATAAAATTATCTGTTCGGATATCTGTAAATATAAGTCTCTGGTGGTTGTAGGGTTCTTTTTTTTCAACAATATAGTAGACTGATGAAGTATGATAAGAATGTAGCTGCAAGTACATTCAGCCTTACAACCTATATATTCACAATAGCCTTACTGTTCTTTCCCTGGCCTTCTCCCTGAAATTCACGTTGTGTACTTGGGTATTTCAGGTTTTCTTTCATATTTATCTGTTGAGCATGCAGACTGCTAACAGTACAAGTTTCAGCAAGATTGGGATCAGAATTAGGGTGGAGTTGTGAAGCATATTCGCTGGAGGTTGAATTTAGGGACAGAGTTACTTACAGACTATAGGCTCTTTGGTGTGACAGCACTGAAGTGTTTTTCTCCTAGAAAATAACATTCTTAAAACTTCTGTTGCTTGCATTGCCCTCTGCTGTTTTGCTTCAAACTCATCTCTTGAGATGGAGGGCAGGAGAAGCAGATCTCCCATTGTCAGTTCATTTTACAAGGTTGGAGAATAGGCACCAAAAGTGCTGTCCTTGCTCACTTCTGTCTCTTCTCTTGCCATATATGATTTAACTGATAGGAATGGTGATTCAAGAAGGGTGAAAATATGGGAAGCAGATCTTGGTGCTAGGGAACTGCTCCTAAAAAGCCTCATTTCCCCTCTTCTTGCTCTTCTCTTCTCTAAGTTTAAATGGCCAGAGAAGCAGTGAGAAGAGCAACTCCTTTGATGCCAGTGCTTTTGTCCTGTGAAGTGATATCTCGGTGGGACCAAAGAACTGCTACCTGAAGACCCTGCACCCTCTTTCTTTAATCAAGCTGATACCCTATATCTGTGATGGCAAACCTATGGCACGCATGCCTGAAGTGGCACGCAGAGCCATCTTTTCGGGTACGCGAGCTGTTGCCTAACTCACTTGCAGCTGCGCATGCGTGCGCGCCCCAGCTGGTTTTGGGGCCTCCGGTGTGCATACACACAATTCAGGGGACCCAGCTGGTCTTCTGAGCACTTGTGCGCATGCATAGACAG